ATTCTTTAAATTTAAATAGTATATTTAATTTTAAACATTCTGAAAATTAATTACTTTTAGTCTTATGCGTAAAGTAATATTTTTGTAAAATTAATAAAAAATAGTTATATGGAGCTGTTAAATACTCTAATTTTTTTATGCTAACATTCTTTCATTTATTTGAAGTTTTATGAAGCTTTACTATTTCCATAAGCACTGTGCTACACAACAACATTAGTGTATATCCCATCACAGTGAAAATCTCATTGCCTCAACTTATCTTGCTAAGCGTCATATACAATCTAAATGAAATCATGTTAAGTAAGTTATTATAAATGCAATGCAAACATTAAATTCGATGAGCGGATGCCTGGCTAGAGACTCACCTTGATAGAGTCATCAGCCAGTCTTTGGTCAATCGGCGGTTTCCACTGGACTTTTCATGGCCAGGCGAAACGCATGCGCTGCAAACTTTAATTAAAGTCACGAGGGGCCAACTTTTTAATTACAATTCAGGCTGGGAAGCTGCATTTGATTGTGCGATAGGCGTTGCTGTGTAAATAGCCTCAATGGAGGCTGCCCGCTACGTTTGGATGGTTTATCAGCAGCCACGCCCAACGCAGCGTACAGTGGGCGTGCGAGTAATTTTTCTTATGTGGTGCGCGGCGAGTGCAAATTGCAATTGGGCTGAGCGCTAGCTCTTTGTGCAAATAAGCAATTATTTGGCTTAATAAGTCAATGGGCAATGGCAACCGGTTGGCATATCTCATCGCCTTGACGCCTGACCGTTGATTGCTGTCTGGCCTAATAGAATTTCCTCGACTGCACGTCGGACCGCGTCGGCCCCCGTTGGCTGGCAGCTGTGGCAACTTTCTGCTAAATAGTCCGCATAAAAGTTGCGCGCAACAAAGTTGAAGGCACAAAGTAAATGAAGCCGCCGTCGCAGCCTCAATTTAAAATTAAGCTCATGAAAAGTAGTTAACCTCGCGCGGGCTGCGGCCAGCAGCCACCCCAAAAGGCCAGCGAGAGAGCGAGAGGGAGAGAGAGTGAAACCCACAGCCAAAGCCACCGCCAACGCCAACGCCAAAGCCAAAGCCAAAGCCGTTAACTACAGCACAAAGTCAACGATGGCGCGGGCTGGCGAGGATTGGCTCTTGTTCGCATTAAAGTAAGCATGAAATTAAAGCTAACCCCAAAGGCGACTTGCAAATAAACTGCAGCCCTCTTCAGGCTGCTCAAGGGCTGCGAGCGGAACGAGGGGGCCGTTAAAGAGAGTAAGGGGGGGCCATGCCTTCTGCAATGTTGTTGCATCAAATTAGCAGCCATGTTGAATAAGAAGAAGCGCGAATTTTTGTTCTGTTTTGGCAAGCAGGAAACAAAAGAATCACAAAACAACACTGAAACTGTTTAGCAAACGAACACTGTGAGAAATTTTCGAGCACAGAGAATAACGGAATATTTATAAATTATCTGTGTAAATATTTAATAAATATTAGTATTTTATTTTAGTATCTTTTTTATAAAATACATATAAATATGTTTAGCATTGGTCGAATATATATCACTACCATATAACCATCAGAAGACTTTGCTCCCCAGGAATGTCCAAAAGCCTTCAGAGGAGCATTGAAAGGCTCTCACTCTCTCACTCACTCACTCACTCCCATATATATGCTCATACGTCAAGTGAAAAACTGAGCGAACATGTTGAGTTTTGATATGTTCACTCATTAAAGTTCAGCTCTGCTCTATGGTAAACTGTCAGCAATCTCAGCAATCAGCTCTCCGACTCTCATTGCCACAATCAAATATCAATAATCTCGCTAATTATTTCTCTCAGTGCAGTGACCTAAACTCTATGCATATGCTGTGTAGGTTATTTGTTAAAGTTGTTGTGAAATTCTTAAGACATTTGTTCGTTGCATTCAGTTGTCTCGTCTTTAATTTATTTTGCAACAATTCACAGCCCTCCCAAGATAAAAACGACGCGTCGTTCCCTCCGTCCATCCGTCTGCTTTGAACCATTCATTTTGTTAACATCTTTTGCGCTTGCGTTTTTGTTGCTTCCGTCTTTTTTTTTACGATAGCTCCGATATTACAACACCCAAAGGTGTAATTGAATCAAATGAGCAAAAATTTCAGATTACTTGAAAATGTTTTGAGCGCGCGAACGCAGCGAGCGCCAGACACGAACTCATTTGGCTGGGCAATCAGGACGAAGGGTCGAGGCGAATTGGAGCCATTTAAATGCAGTCGGAAGCATTTGTTCTACTCCAACTGAGGGGTTGATTTTTGCCTATATATATACATATATTTATACATAAATATAGATAGAACTTTATCTACTTATACACGTGCAAGGTAAGGGTATTTTACAGTCAGCTTACTCTGTTAAATGTTTTATTGAAAGTTTTAGCGCTGGTTGTCGCGTGTCAAGGCGGGGGGCGTTACTCGTAATGTTAATAATTGAAATGGCAAATGAGTTACAAGTGTGAATATTTGAATATTTGGCAAGTGCAATCAGTGAGAGTGCTCGCCACAGGCGTCTGCCGCATCCGGTCTCAAGCGGAAACGGAAGTGCACAGCGCCAAATAGCTTGACAAAGACGGGGCTCAAAAGAGAAACATTTTCACGCACATATGGCCAACCGAAAACGCAAACGGGCRAAACAAAAAATAAAACACAAATATTTAGAGACAGAATTATGAATGGCAAAGACATCAGCGCGACTTTCAAGAGCCCAACTCAAAGCAAAGAAAGACAACAGCCAAAAAAAAAAAATAAACAAAAAAAAAAAAGATTGCTACAAAATGGCATTTAAGCTGCTTTTGGCTAAGAGCTCAGACAGAGTTCGGGCGGATAGTAGGTGGTACGTACCACGTAGGTGGTAAGGGTAGCGTCAGTCTGCTGATTTATGTGCACTGTTGAAGGTTCAAATAAGCGTTAAGTTTTCATTTCCGTTGGCGCCGTTGCGCGGCGAGGGCCAAGACAACAGTTACACTCAGTCCGCGCTGTAAACTGAAATATCTGCACAAAAATGAAACTGAAAACTGAAAAGAATTATTTGTTTTTATGTTTTGTCTTTTGTTTTTCTTTGACTATTCGAGCCACATTATTACAAAACAAATTAAGAGAAGAATGTTAAAGCGCAGCACAGTCGAAGTTCCGCATTTGGCAGCTGGCAAAATATATTGCTGGAATATTTCTTTGAGCAGGTGTGAGACGCGAAAGCTTTGTAGCTGTAAGACGTGGGATTTTTTTTTTAAATACACACATATATAATATACACTTTCCACACTCTCATTATGGCTTATGAGAAAATCTTCAGCTCTGCCAATTGTAATAAATTAAAAGCAGAAATTTCTCATTAAAATATTTCCTCAAGTGCAAAATTACTTCGGCAAATTTCAGAGCTAAGCAACCCCTTTACAGCTGTGGGCGTTAATCAATGTTGATATGCAGATAGAGTCGAGTCGAGAGCTGCACACACACACACGCACGCACAACTGTAATTCACTTACATTTATATTGTTTATTGTTCGTACTGCGGCGTATACGCAATTTATCAAACATAACAACGGCAATTAATTTCTTCTGAAGCTCGTTCAGAAAAGTAAACTTTTATAAATCAAACGTAACGAGCGTGTAACAGGCCAAAAGTGAGGGCGATTTGCCGTCCTTACCTGCGCGCACAGGGGTTGCTTTTCATTAGGTGGTGGCAATTTTACAGCTTTCCTAGCAGCTCAACTTTTCAAATAAAACTCGGTGGAAAAAAAAAATATTTGCAATTGGGCATCGCATTCCTGTTTGGCAGTCGTGACTTTGCCTTTGTTTTGCCTGTCTCCAGTTTCATGTGGCGTATGAGTTATTTATTTTTGAGTTATTGGCATTTGGAAGCGTGGCTGAAGCTGCAAGGCGAGTTTTAATACAGTTTTTAAGCCATGTCTGAGACTGTGCATACGACGTCTGGCTGCGATCATAGAAATATATTTTCAAAAGTTTGATGAGCGGCGAGTGAAATGAATTAACCAAGCAAGTCTTAGAGTGTTCTAGTCGATGGTGTTTGAGTTCTGTCTGAGACATGTTAGCTAAGCAAGTCTGAGCTCTTTAGAAGCCCTGTTGGAGACTGCTTGGCAAACAAGTTGAAGAGTGTTCTAGACGCATAGAGATATAGAGAGATAGGAGATAGCCTGAGTTAAGAGTTAGTCTGTTTTAAGTATATCATCTTTAGAAATATACAAAATGATAAAAAATATATAAAATATAAT